TATCTAAAAGCCATATCAACATTGTTTGTTATGTCTTTACAGCATGTTATGTGCCTCTTATTACATTCAATTTATTTATATAGTACCAATTTGCAAGAAAAGTTATCTCATTGCACTTTTCACAAAGAGCAGGTCTAGACTGTACTCTTTGTAATATTATTCAACAATTCCCACCATGAGCAGCACTTGGTGACAGATGCAAGGAAAAAAAACCTTTAACAGGCAGAAAAACTTGAGCAGAACCTAGACTCAGGAAAGGTGGCCAACTGCCTTGACCTGCCTACATATCCTTTTTGTACACTGAAACTTTCCATTGACTAGCCTACTTTAGAGTCATGTGGTCTTCGAAAATAAATATAAACTAAACTTATAGTCCCCTAGGTCATTTGAAGGCACTCCTCTATCCAGCTGGAAACAAAAATACTCTGTTGTTTGCCTAGTTTGCAATACCAAAGATGGCAACTGGTTGCTTGTTTTTACAAAGTAAGAAAAATATAAGTGTAGCACATGAAAAAAGATACAATTAACCTGGTACAAAAATTTTTCATTATGTGTCATATATATAGCAGGGAAAGAACAGTTGGCAAATTAACCCTGTATGGTTTTGTCTAAAGGAAAGATATCTTAAGATGTTATGGGCAGGGTCCAAAATTAGCACCTGCCACTCATCAAATGCAAGTAAAAATCTATATTGGTTATCAAACATAGGCTACACCCTAAAGTTAGGACCAGGTTTCACGATCAGATATTCTCACCACTGTTTGTATGTTGTACTTTAGTTTTATAGACAGACAGTATCATGATTCAGGGTTCCAGACTAACATTTCCACTGGTAGAAACTTTCTCAGTTTGTCCACCAGCACATGATTTGGCCACACCCTTTTTCCCCGGATTGTACTGTGAGATGTACTTAAACAGGCTGTATGTGCATTATTATAGCGCACATAAAACTACTTCTGTATAAAGTCAGGGCTCTCAAGTTTTATCAAAAATGTGGAGCGACTCAAATATTTGCAACAGCGGCCTCTTGGCCCCAGCCAATTCTCACAAGTTTTTACTAGAAGTTCAATTTCACCTATAGTTCATAATTGACCTGAATAAATAGAAATTATAACAACAGCTAAATCTGATAAAAGACTATTTAAATATGTATACTTACATTTCAAAAATACAAATGTATCCAAAATAAAAAGAAATTTTGCCCCAAACGAGCCCACTGAACAGCAAAGCTCAATATATGTTGTACAATATATGTTGTACGCGTATATATGCGTGGGGCAACAGAACTTACCCCACGCATGTATGCCAAGCTGTGTGTGAGTAGGCTAGCTTATAAATGGTGTGTTGTGTTGTAATTGATTGATGAACATTTTAATGCCTTGATGACAGGGGTAGGGGGCTCCCACTTAGAGCACTGTGGCTCAAGGCCAGCCATTTTCACTTTCATGATGGAGGACAGCTTTCTGTCCAGAGCCAAATTAAAGAAAAACATCTCTAGTCCTTTCCTTAGTTTCAGGTAGCCAAAGCCAAGCTGTGGTGGACAGTAACAAAGTAGTGCTGTACTTAAGTGCACAAGGTATTTGTACTGAATTTGAGTATTTGCTTTTCATGCCACTTTCTACTTCTACTTCACCACATCTTGAAGTGAAATATTGTACTTTTTACTTTATCTGACAGCTTCAGTTACTAGTTAGGCCTACTTTAAAAAATAAGCTTTTTACACACTAGTAGAACTACATCAGTTAGGCTAATTGACAGAATTATAATGTATTTTTAATCATTTTGAGGATTGGATTGACAAAATAAGCATTGTGAAGGTGTCACTTATGGGCCCTGGGTAACTGCGACAACATTTCTCACTATTTTCATAATTTATTACAATCAATTAAAGGAGAAATACAGCCCACATTAATGCATAAGGAATAATAATGTAATGATATACAGTGGGTACGGAAAGTATTCAGACCCCTTTAAATTTTTCACTCTTTGTTTCATTGCAGCCATTTTCCAAAAATCAAAAGTTGCTTTTCAAAAGTTCATTTTATTTCTCAGTAATGTACACTCAGCACCCCATCTTGACAGAAAAAAACAGAAATGTAGAAATTTTTGCAAATTTATTAAAAAAGAAAAACTGAAATATCACATGGTCATAAGTATTCAGACCCTTTGCCTCATATTTAACTCAGGTGCTGTCTATTTCTTCTGATCATCCTTGAGATGGTTCTACACCTTCATTTGAGTCCAGCTGTGTTTGATTATACTGATTGGACTTGATTAGGAAAGCCACACACCTGTCTATATAAGACCTTACAGCTCACAGTGCATGTCAGAGCAAATGAGAATCATGAGGTCAAAGGAACTGCCTGAAGAGCTCAGAGACAGAATTGTGGCAAGGCACAGATCTGGCCAAGGTTACAAAAAAATTTCTGCTGCACTTAAGGTTCCTAAGAGCACAGTGGCCTCCATAATCCTCAAATGGAAGACGTTTGGGACGACCAGAACCCTTCCTAGAGCTGGCCGTCCGGCCAAACTGAGCTATCGGGGGAGAAGAGCCTTGGTGAGAGAGGTAAAGAAGAACCCAAAGGTCACTGTGGCTGAGCTCCAGAGATGCAGTCGGGAGATGGGAGAAAGTTGTAGTAAGTCAACCATCACTGCAGCAATCCACCAGTCGGGGCTTTATGGCAGAGCGGCCCGACGGAAGCCTCTCCTCAGTGCAAGACACATGAAAGCCCGCATGGAGTTTGCTAAAAAACACCTGAAGGACTCCAAGATGGTGATAAATAAGATCCTCTGGTCTGATGAGACCAAGATAGAACTTTTTGGCCTTAATTCTAAGCCGTATGTGTGGAGAAAACCAGGCACTGCTCATCACCTGTCCAATACAGTCTCAACAGTGAAGCATGGTGGTGGCAGCATCATGCTGTGGGGGTGTTTTTCAGCTGCAGGGACAGGACGACTGGTTGCAATCGAGGGAAAGATGAATGCGGCCAAGTACAGGGATATCCTGGACGAAAACCTTTTCCAGAGTGCTCTGGACCTCAGACTGGGCCGAAGGTTTACCTTCCAACAAGACAATGACCCTAAGCACACCGCTAAAATAACGAAGGAGTGGCTTCACAACAACTCCGTGGCTGTTCTTGAATGGCCCAGCCAGAGCCCTGACTTAAACCCAAGTGAGCATCTCTGGAGAGACCTGAAAATGGCTGTCCACCAACGTTTACCATCCAACCTGACAGAACTGGAGAGGATCTGCAAGGAGGAATGGCAGAGGATACCCAAATCCAGATGTGAAAAACGACTCATGGCTGTATTAGATCAAAAGGGTGCTTCTACTAAATACTGAGCAAAAGGTCTGAATACTTATGACCATGTGATATTTCAGTTTTTCTTTTTTAATAAATTTGCAAAAATTTCTACATTTCTGTTTTTTTCTGTCAAGATGGGGTGCTGAGTGTACATTACTGAGAAATAAAATGAACTTTTTTGATTTTTGGAAAATGGCTGCAATGAAACAAAGAGTGAAAAATTTAAAGGGGTCTGAATACTTTCCGTACCCACTGTAATATATGATAGTATAACAGTCATAGGGGCCATTTTTCTTTCTGCTTTGAGTAGGCTACTTTTATTTTTAATCGGCTACTCCTACATTTTCCTGCATATAGCCTACTTACATACTTTTATATAACTTTTTCAATGCAGTACTTGCAGAGTATTTTTATGGTGAGGTATTAGTACTTTTTTTTTAAAGGATCTGAATAGGCCTAAGTTACTTTGTTCACCACTGGCTAAAAATGCCAAAGCTTCTGGTTGCAAAGAGGTTGGAGAATTTCTGACTGCATCAATAATAATTCAGCAATTCAGCAATGTGGCTGTACTCTTCCCAACATCAGCTGCTCTCACTATCACGGCCTATGGATCACAGGTGATTTGTCCAGGAATCCTAAAATCAAAATGCTTAAAAAAAAAAAAAAAAACTAGTTACCGCATCCATCGGGTCATGCGCTTCCAACTTCCTCATCGTATGTGCACGTTCTGTTGCCTTGTAACGAACGAGCTTGCAGCGGGATCACGTTTAGTTTACCCGGAAACAACACATTTTAATTTCTGACGGCTCTGGCAACAGGGAACGCTATGAACTCGGCAGAAAAATGATCGTGTGTTAACTGAACATAGCGGAGCGTGTTATCTCATAACTTATTTCTCAGCGTGAGAAATACAAGGTGAGGCGTGTTAGCATGTGAACTGGCTGAAATGCCTGTGTCTCACCTTTAGTGTGGCCAACTTTGTCACTATGAAATAAAGCACAAGGTGGCTTGCTGCAGGAGGGCGGATATGGTTTTATGTTTTGTGTTATAATGATGGCTATAATCTCTTAATTAAATATTTGGTAGGTTTAATAGTGTACAGCAGGTACGTTTAACACAGCCCTTTAATTTAACACTTGTGACTCTTGACACTTTAGGTTACAAAAGGTTATCCCCTTCAAGTACATATGACAAACTTTCAGGCAGTTCAGAACTTGATGAATACCATTTGCAGTTTCATCACTATCTTCAGAAAAGTCAAGTAACTTGAACAGCACTCCACCAGACACAGAAAAACATCTCAGGCACAATGGAAACATTTTTCCCTTGTTTGAGGCGTCGTGGCAGCAGAGTAAAACAGATCTTTCAGGATATCCCACACAGTAGCACTGCTGCTGTTGTATTAGTCAGTCAGTGGTTAAAGTTAGATCAGCGTAGTAGTCAAAACACGTATGGGACAAATCAATTAGACCTAATGTAAGGGATATCCCGGCTACTACGGGACAGTTGGCAACCCTACTCACGGTGAATGCGTAATCCTTGAGAGCCCTGATAAAGTCATAGGGCTAACGTTAACGTTACTTAATCATCCATACAATATTTATTCCACCACCCACATGCAGTGTTAAGATTCCTTGTCATACAGTAATTCTTAATGCATGTATATTCCATATATCTATCTATCTATCTATCTATGTTTAGCATGTTCTAGGTAAAACTGGAGTGTACTGGACTGTAACGTTAGTCGAGCCCGCGCCTGGCCGGTTCACTCACGCTGTAACGTAAGGTTAGCATGTCAGGTGTTGTTTAGCCTGAAAGTATCAGCACAGAACCTGTCTAACTTACTGGAAATGGCCACCAGTCGGTCATGGAGGTTAAAACGCTATGGGCGTTTTGTTCCAGGCTCTATGGAAAAGGGAGGGAAGCCTTGGAAGGTAACTGACGTTTACTTAGTGCGTGAATAGTTGTTGAACTGCATCATACTAGCTAGCTAAGATTAGCTATTCTCCTATTAAGCTAACGTTAGCATCTATTGAGCGTTGCATAGTCTGACATTAGCTGTCCTTATTGACCATGATTTACCAGCTAAAATCGACCGTCATTTCAGCTGTTTTGGCTTATTATACAATTGATGTGTGCATGCATATGAATTTAAACTAACTTCATACATTGTTAAGTTTTACTTGGGACAAAAATCTATATGCTAGATAGGATAATTTACTTGCCTCACCTGTAACGAATCATTAACTTTACACACCAGTTTTCTTTTTTGTTTTGGAATAATGAACCCCAGAAATTATTTAAAACTCCCAAAAGATTATTAAAACAACTGTATTTGAATGTTTTTTGAATGTATTTGACGTTTGAATGTTATTTCCATAATCCTGGAAGAGTCAAAATGACGTTATTCCTCTGCACATTTGTTAATTACAATGTATTACAATTTATTGAGTGTAGATTGAATTAAGTGACACTCTTTGTACAATGCATGAATAATATCAGTTTAAGCTAAAGTCTACTGATTAATTTTATCAAGAGAAATCTGTACATTTACTGTAAACACAACCACTGTTGTGCATCCATTGAAAATAAGTCTCTTATTATTAGAGGTCACCATTTAGATCTTAAAAAACCCACCCCTATCATACTACTAGATCTTAAACCGATGACCTGAAAATACTTATTTTGCCTGAGCAACAGTCATACAGACATAAGGCATACATAAAATATTCAGTTAACTAAAATGAGAAAAGCAGCTTTTACTGAAAGCTGCAGCTTTCATTTGGTAGCTGTAAACAAAGAATTCAGAGTCTTTCTAGTATATGTTGGAGGGAATTCATGTTGACTGATAAGACCTTTGTTTGAAGCTTTACTCTCAAGTAAAACAGTTCTGCAGTGATTCCCATCCCTGTTTTAAATTCAGTCTTGCTACTCGTGGTAGTTGATGTGAAAACAAAATACTCAAATGCACTTCAGGACAGAAAGACTCCACAAATAGATGAGGAATTCAACAGTAGCTTAATCAAAATAAAGAGATATTATGTCAGTCTGCATGTGCTTGGGGAAGCCTTCACTGCGTGAAAGTGAAGGAACTAACTAACTATGGGAGTTTTGAGGATAGCTACTGGTGTAAATTTCTATAATACTTTTCTTAAAATTGTAAAATGATTAGGTTATAGGGTTTTCCAAAAAGGATGTAGTGGAAAATTAAATGTAAAACTCACTTGGTCTAGTTGTTGGAACAGTGTAGGTCTATTCATTGTGATTTGCATCTGTGTCATTTTAATGTAATTACTACAATGTAAGTTATTATTAATACCAGCAATGTCAGTCACATCACATTGGCTTATGGTAAGGTATGATGCTCATTTAGTAGTATTTTTGACTAGGCCTATTTGGAAATTCTTTGATAATTAGTAGTTCTTTTTAGTTGCATTTATTTGTCAGACACATTTTTCAAAGTTTCAAAATTATATCTATAAGCACAGCCTAAGTGATGAGTGAACTTTGTTGTTTTCTATCATAGATAGAACAACTACTGTGTGGAAGACTGCATGCTTAATGTCACACATAATCAGATGTCCTAATTTATAATTTCCTCACTTCTTTATTTATCTTCAACTTGCCATTTATCTGTGTTGACTTTTAAAATATCAGCTGTGAGCTGGGAAGACGAAGATCTGGGGATAGTATTTTGTGCTGGAACAAATTACAGGAGAAGTGTAGCTTTAACCAGAATTCTGGTTTGTCTTTCATTAACTGCATCAGACTCTAGATGGCAAGCTGGAGCTACATGTTCTGTGTGAAGAAAGGGACAGATGGCTATGGAACCAAAATCTACCTACATTATACATTATACTGTGTGACAGCTCTGAGAATAATTTCAAACTATTCAATAAAACTGAGTTTAGGTGCATTTACACCCATGGGACCACATTGCAGGGTCTAATATAGTATTTAAAGCAATTTGTGAGCATGGAATTACAAGATTTTATCTGACTGATTGTGTTGTAAAAAGGAATTACTGTAGACACTTGTGATCCACATGGGGTAGTGCAACATTTTTTTTAAATAAAATGACACAGTGGCTCACCATATAGCTGCCAAATCATGTGCTCACAGATAGAACTGTATAATTCACTGCTCATGGACCGCCTTGTATAACTCAGTTTGAAAAATATCTGTTTTAAATTCATCATGAGTTGATCGGAAAAATCTAAACTACTCACTTTAACTTTGCACTGGCTTACATTCTCTTCTCTTCACCAGGTATTTGAGGCAAATGGTAATAAACCAGAAATTGTTCTCACAATTATGGAATCTGGATACTTGCTGGTATTGCAAGGACAGGAAAGCTTGGTAAGAAGACCATGTGTCTAGATTGACTATTTTTGTTTTCTGTTGTTTTGTTTTCCATGAATTGTCCCTTATGAGTTGCACATAACAGCTGATGATCAAGCCTTGTTTTCCTGATCAAGGTGAACTGTTTAGATCCAGCCTCTTGGATGTGCTTGTTGGTGATGAGAAGGCCTATTGTGCCTTGTGATATGATTTAATACCATACATTTTGTTCTTGTTTTTGCTGATTTCAATTCTGGCAATTCACTGTAGAGTTTTGCCATCTTTCAAATGAATTGTTTGAAATGTGTCCAAGGAAGGTTAAAGTTAAGGGCAAATGGACTTGGTTGAAGATGCTCAAAGATGTTTTACCTCTCACCTTAGAGGCTTACATACTTCTTCAGTTCACGGGGAAAAAAGAAAGAAACATACAAAAATAAGTCCTCTATAGAGGGTTTCCATATGGTATGTATGTGAAAGATCAGTAGTTATAGATTTAATTATGCAAAGCTTATGGTTCAAAATATCACAAGCAAAGACAAAAACACAAAAATGAGAATATAGCCTCCTTCAAGATAAACAGTCTCAGGAATACATAAAAATCACCTTAAAAAATGGTGTAGCAGTTCTCTGGTGTACATCAATTTATTTTGATGTTCCTGTAAATGTAGCTAATAAGACCTTGACATTTGGACACTAGACTGTACCAGGTGTCCAGTGCACGAAACACTGTGTTGCAAAAGTGTTGCAGTGTAGATGTACTTGAAGCTCTCTAATTCAAAAAATAAATTGTGGCTATAGAGGAATTGCATGAAATCATTCAAGGCTGTAGTTGCAATTGTCATGCTCTGACACTGGCAATCTGTAGTACGTCACAGTTGTTATTACTGGCTGTGCACACCCATATGCAGGGAACACTTAATATGAATTGTATTAATTATTAGTAATGCTGCTCCAAAATGACATTCCTGGATGGGACATGACTGACTCTCCCCAACGAGTGTACATTTCATACATATGTAACACTACACTGCTTTTGTGTTAATTTTCAAGCTTTGTTTTTCCCAAGGATTTTTTGTGAATGTAAATAAATGAACAATCATCTGAATTACACCTTTCACAAAATGGCTAAAGAAAAGCTGCACCATTCTCTTGGCAGATTTTCTGGGATGTAAATGTGTAACAGAAATCTGCTTTTCCAGATAAAAGGATTCGATGAAGGCCATATGAAATATTCTGCTGAAGAGCTTGACATTTCTGCTCAAACCTGATGGGATTTGACTGGACTGTTTTGGTTGGGTCAAGCCAAATGTTCCTCACAACTTTTTGTGTACAGGTTCAACATAAGTTTGAAAAATATTATTGAGGAAATTTTTAGCTTCATGTAAAGCGAAATCCCACTTCAAGCTTGGTTCAGATTTTAAAACTACCATTTTACGTGGTAGTCAGGTTTGGGTGTGAATTTACATGCCTTGCATGTACTTGACATTTGTTATCCTGTTCGTGCATTGGTTTTTTAGCCAACCTTGGCACAGCAGAGTGCCATCTTAATTCTTGGTAGGCCAATACGAGTTGCGGACAATCAGGCAAGGAAGTCACCGCAACAAATAATGGTAAATACTGTGAGTTAAACCAAAATTTTATTCTATAGGTGTTACATTGCAGAAGTCTAGTTAAGCATGTAAGCTAACACTAAACTTAGAAAATTACTTTGGGGGGTTTTACCAGTTACTTTGGCCTTTAGACATGACATTAAAAGTTAACTTCCTGCCCTGCAGACAACAGAAATTTGAGGGACTACTAATTGTCTCATTAATGGAGCTCTGGCAGGTGACACAGCTATCTTGCTGCACCAGGATGCCGAGCTAGACTGCAGAGAGCTTTCACCAAGGATGATAGACTGGTCTATTATAGATTGGTGCAGTGAATGCTCAGGAAATTTCAATACAGAGAGCTTCGGGCCTATAGGTTACATGATAAGTTCTGATGGAAACTTTTGAAATTGTCTTTGAACACAATGGAAATTTGCTGTATCAGAGAGAATCGTGAAGTTACAGAAGAGTGTCAGTGCTCTCCTTAAAGTATGGATACTCCTGACACATGAAAGTAAAGTCAGTTGTCTTTACTACTACACTCCAGTTTTACCCAGAAAATGCGAAACAGTACATTCTTTACCATAGATAGATAGACTACACATGCATTAGGAATTACAGTATGACAAACAATCTTAAACCCTGCATGTAAGTTAGGTGCTTGAATACATGAGGTATGAAACACAAATCATTCCAAAAGAAATTCCCTCATTTGATGAGCCCTGTCTCGTAAGCCAGCCCAAAAACTCCCACATGTCGTCGATTGGGTTTGGAGCTGGTGACTGTGAAGGTCATAGAATGTGATTCACATTTTCCTACTCGTCAAAACAATTTTTTTCCCCTAATTGCTATGTATTACAGCATTTAAAAACAAAGTGTATCCACGGAAATCACAAGCTAACTAACTTGGTAATATATTTTTTGCACTATAGTCACTACTAAGATTACTATTACTAAATTGCTAAGCGTGATAGTGCTGTCGGTTTCAAAAATGTGTATTATTAACGTTGGAATGATGCTGCTAGAGTACAGTAGAGCACCTTCTCCCTGGTGTAGTGCCATTGTTCCAAGGAAAACCCTGTTTATATACCTAAATTGCTATTTTCAAAGTCATAACAAATGTATTTGTAAAGCAAATTTAACAGAATATGCTAATCAATATATTAGGCTATTATATAATATAATATTATATTACTTATAATATAATGTTGTATACATCTGCCTGTTTGATTCTGTGTGTAAAACAGAAAAGCTCGTCATGAGCCTCAAAGCGGTTACTGAGTAAACAGAGACCCCTGCAGACAGTTTTAGGTAACATCTGTTTCTCAGTCAGCTTGGTTAAAACTAAAATACTCTCTTGTTCCCATTCATTTCATCTAGTCATTTTTACAAGAAGTGGAAATCTTTTTAGTTGGCGTTGTACAAAAGAAGACGATTTTGCATTCTTAAAATGTACCTGTCCTGGCTGCTGAAAATGTTTATTCTCTTGTCTTTTCACAGGATACAGTCCCTTTGCTCTGCGGCTCAGATTGTCTCAAAATACACCATAAATCTGATAACCTGATGTTTCGATTTAGTGTGGAGGTGAGTTATGAGATGCATGGCAGTCTGAGAATGGGTGATAATTACTGTCCTACATTTTTCCTTCAATTAATTCACTTGCAAGACAATTGTATTTATTACACTATACCAAATGAAAAGGGAAAACTAATAATACTCTAGGTTTGGATAATTAGGATTTTTAATACTACTTATTCAGGTTGTTGTGATAAACGGCTTCCTCATACTGAAATTATTACCCAGATAATTTTCTGTTAAATTTGTTGTTCAGACATGAGTTGCCTAAACATCCAATTTAACGGTATCCTTGTTTACTAAACCTTTTTTAAACTTAATTAGATACTGATTTCACAAAAGCAACATACAGTATGTGGCTCAGGAGGTAGAGCGGGTTGGCTGTTAATCGGAAGGTCGGCGGTTCAATCCTGTCTCCCCCAGTATGCAAGATACTGAACCCCCTGGTGGCTGTTCAGTAAAGTCATAAATGTAGTGTAAAAGCGCTTTGAGTGGTCGAAAAGACTAGAAAGGCGCTATACAAGTACAGAGCATATACAATACAGTACAAACCACAGAGTTGGTTTTCATTGGCACAGTTTAGATTGACAGATACAGTCTGAATGTATTTATCTGCAGGGTGAGAGCCGCATGGTGAGGATGCAGTTTGCTGGAAGTAGCAGGGCACACGCTATAAAAGAGTGCTCAAGTGCTGTGGAGAAACTAATGGAGTACATGCCTGTTGCCTCTCAGGATGACGCCCCACTGCCCTCCAATCAGTCCCCCACTGAGTTCACTGCACCAGTGATACAGGTTGGCCATTTTACAATTCAGAAAATAAAAATTTTATTTGTATTAACTATGTCCCCATAGTTATTGTATATGTATATCAAGTATATCATTGTAATGTAAATTACCATAATTAAAGTTATCGTATTGTCATTACTCATTGCTTAATAAACAGTAATGTCACAATGCTGTGGTCATGAAGGCTTCATGAACAGTGGCTGTATACTCACTAAAATGGCGCTATATACAATACTGTCTTATTCTTAGAGGTGACACGATGGGCACTGAGGGTGGACTGAGATAAAGAATATACTGCACATGACTCATTAGCCAATCACAATAAACTATGGTGCAGAATACAGTATGTCCCACCCCAAACACACACGCACAGACAGGAATGTAGAACAATAATGAAATTAATTTATAAATATTACCATCAAATTGGCTTATCATTTCAGCCACTAAAGAAATTAGTTCTTAATATCACCTTTAACAGTCAAATTGTTGATTATGAAAACAGTGATTTCTGTCCCAAACCTTAAAAAACAACAACAATTTAACATGCCATCAAAGCATTTAGCCAGTTGAAATTCACACTCTACGAATGACATACTGAAAGAGTGAGATTGTTGGTGCTGTCATTCAGTTCTGCTTCCTTTCAGTGGTGGCATTTTATTTCCTTTCAAACTTGAAAACACTCAGAGCATTTGGTTAATTAGAAATTGGATTCTGAATAAAGCCAGCGGTCTGGCTTGCAACATGTAACATGAAGGACAGAGAAAGGACTGGACTTGAGTTTGATGGGTTTGAATGTGACCTTTAGCAAACAGACACACTGAAGGAGTTCACAGTGAAGATGAAAGGGCTTTGAGTGGTGGATATCTTTCAATTAGTAATGAAGCCATTGATTGGCCTCTTAAATACTGTGGTGTTGTGACGTGGTCCTTAAATCTTTTTTCTTCTTTTGTATGTAACCCTGTGTCAGCAGACCTGCCACGGAAAGGCTGTGGGAGTTGAGCCTGAGGTTGTCCAAGGATCACTGTCCATCAAGCGTCTTACCCAGGTACTGATCTGTAAAAGTGAAACCTAACAAAAATAACAAAATTGAACATCCACTGTCATACATATTAATTGTAATTTTGTGTTAAATTTAAGTAATGACCACAATGTTTTTGTTGATTTTCACAAGGTGCAGGTTGCTCACTTTATTTATTTCCGTAAATTAGGAACCCTTACATAGGCTACTTAATTAACTGTTTTCAGAAGTATGTGTTGGTCCTTCCACAGCACTTCTTAGGAGAGGCCGCTGTGACTCTGCCTCAAGTATATCATCATGGTTCTTTGGCACAAGGTGACTTGGAGCCCATCCTGCGTATTTGTCTGCTGGATCCCAGCTTTCATGCATTTGTGGAGAAGGTGGAGGGGGAGCTGAGGAAACTGCTTCAAGAGTAAACAATCTCAACAACAGCTGAAGGCAAAAAGGTCAAGTTAGTGTAATGTGCTTTTTCTTATACAGTTTGTGTAGGCAGTGCCTGGTGGTGGAGGTGGAATGTTTCTTGCTGTGCTGCCGATGTTTGAAATGTTGTTGCACATTAGTTGTTATGGTATATGGCTCGAAGAGGATGCTTTGAATGGTATTGAATTTAGGTGTTTAGAGGAAGAAGAGGTCAAATGAAAAAATCTGGATTAATTTTCAAACTTTTTATTCAGAAAAAAAATATTGGTCTCACTCATATGTTTCATCGTGGCTATATACTCTGGTCCCTCTTTTCCCACCTTAATGCAGGTCCATTTTCACCGCAACACACATGGATACATTTGAAAGAGGAGTCATGCAGCTACAGCAGTGAATTTTGCTATGCCAGCTTCCAAGTGATCCCACAATATTAAAGCTTCACTGAGTAAAACAAACTGCCCTCCATATATCTATTTAAGAATACATATTGCATAGGATTATAGCCATGCTATACAGTTAAAGAGAGAAAGAAATAAAAAATAAAAATCAATAAATGAAATTGGGAAATATAAAAAAATATTTTTTTACAGATTTCCTATCATTTGAACACTCATACTTCAACATATACAAGACACCTAAGTTACTCTGGAAAGAAAATAAAAATTATACACATATCATTTTTGTTTAGATAGTTTAACACACAGTAGTCATTTTCTTTAATCACTCTCAATGAAATTTAAATACTGCCATACATTGAAGCCCTTGCTTCACAATAAAAGTTCTCTTAAAAGTGGACTTCTTGTCACAAAATCAAACATAGTTAAATGACCATGATATGCTGTACAAATTTTCAAGAATAAAACTAACTAACTATATATATATATATATATATATAGTAAGGATGACTCCATAAAAAAACACAGGTCATTTTAGATGCAAAAAAAAAGCCACACGAGGGATAACAACAGAAAATGTCTATTCTGAGTATCCTATTGCGTAATTATCTTGCATGCATTGTACATGATATGTAATACAAAAGGGATCACCTCATTTGAGGATATGATAAAATTAATAAAGGAGACACCAACAGCACATTAAAAATGTGTACACCTTTGTGGTGGTTTTAATCATTATTTGTCATCCTGAAATCTCCACGTAAGACTGAATAAGGCATGCTTAAGACAGCCATTATGTTCTTTTTGTTGCCAGTGTTACGCTGATATTGTTTCTCATAAAATGAGACAAGATATGCTTTTTTGAAAACTGCCCGGAGCTCTATCCACCTCTGATACCTTCATGTAGTCAAAAAAATGCAGTTTAGCCATCTCATCTGTGGAGAGAAAATCAAGAGAAGGCGTGACTATGGATAATCCTCACAGTGAGTTCTATATTTAGCCCCCATCCCCTTCAACACTGTCTTACTTGAGTAAATTGCTTATTTCGTATTCCTCTGGCGAATGTTTTTGTCCTTGTGGTTATTTGTTGAATTTGTTTTCCTAGGAAAGAAGCAGTTATGATTTAGTGACCTAAAGGTAATAGCCATTCAAATCATAGTACCCAGTATTTCTGTATGAATTATATTTGTAGCAATACGACTATGTATATACTTACATTGGTCCAACTGGTTCATCATCTTTGGCACAAGAAGAGAAAAAAAGACAAATACAGAACACAGATGTGAATCATGAGATAAATATAAAAGGAAAATACCTGTGTTGCATATTCCTGTACATTTACTGCAAACAATATGTATTTTTACTTTGCTGACAAATTTCACATTTTGTCTCAGACATACATTAGTTTACCTATTAGAGATAGGTTACCTAATCCTTCAGTGAATATTAATATTGTATGATGATGCAGCTGAAAGCACAGATTGCTTTGAATACTGGCGTGGCAGAGTCGTGCACTGGTGGGAAGCTCTGACATCATAGACATGGGAGTCTGCTGCTGAACAGCTTTGTATGCACAAGCTTTGTGTCTGATAGACAGGCTAAAGGAAAACACTAAGCAAACACAGGAGTGTGAATTTAGTGGCTTCTTGAATTGAAAATGGGAAGATGGTAAAAGACTAATTGAGAAAAAACTATATTTTTGGAAAATGGTCGGCAGTGACATATTTGTAGTAGAAGGGCTGAAATGTGGGGAAAAAAACAACTGCGGTATGGTCTCTTAAATAAGCACTGTAAACTTAACCTTACATGCCATCTGAATCTCATGGGGTTCCTGTGCATTTCAAACTGAGCATATGTGTAGGAGGGTTACAGATGGCTCACTTAAAGCCATCTTTTAATTACACTCAGCAATTTCATAGTGATTTTGAGCCTAGTGCATGGGTCTGATATTGTGACTGATATTCTCTCAGCATCTAGAGCTTGTATTAATTCCCTGCAGTATATAGTGGTTAATATCTCTCTATTGCCAATTCCATACAGATCATCAACATAAAATGTATAAAAATATATTTTTCGTCTTTCGTCATTCTTTCTCATACCCATTCAACAGTGCAATACATAACATACATTGTAACAAGAAGAAACACTGCAGGAAGAGGGACTGGTGAATAATAGTGAATATTGTTATACTGAGTGACAAGTTAGTTCAAAAACCCACAGCCTTGGGGTTATGGTGGTTGGTGTTTGGCATACAGATGAAAAATGTGTAACAGGTAAGTAACCAGTCACAGTGTGATATTTTTTCATGCAGTTATAAGTCTGAGATAAGCAGCATTAGCAGCATTCCATGGCATTAATATGGAGCAGATTATGGCAGTTATAATGTTAAGACGAAAAACATGGTTCTGTGATCACTTGAAGGAGGAACGTCTGACGGCATATCCCACCGTTTTCACATTTCATATAACCACCACTAAAGCTATGTTTACTATAATGGCTTTGCAAGCACATAACAAATAACAGATTTTTACTGCATGAGATTGACAGTTCAACATTGATAATCAGCGTCAAGTCTGCTTGCATTGGTTATAGTTAGCTTTTTATGCAGCTTCAAAAAACAGTAAGAGGGTGTATAGGTTTTTATCTTAAAATTGATCAATTTAAATAAAGTGAGCTTTTTTTAAATTACCAAATCATCACACAGCAAAATCTTAAAAAAATTTTAGCAGCTGATTTTGAAATGCAGTATAGACATGTCAGCCTCTGCCTCAGAGCCTTTGGCTGTGAAGTATAAAAGTGTTCAAACACAGCTAAGCCATCAAGAGACCAGAATTCATAATGCACGCAGACAGGGGCCAAAACCTCCGGGACTATGGGATGCTAAAAGGAGATTTTAGAAAGGCTGTGCATCGTGAGCAGGGAGTCCTCATTCCTGATTTGAATGGCATAAACATGCCAAATATAATCCACCTTAATCGCTTCATTTTTCCAGGAGATGAAACCAAACTAGAGGCCATGCATGGAGCTTACTTGAGCTGTGTGGCTTGTGTTAGGGTGCATGCGCATGAATTTTAAGCAAATATTGTAGTAAAGTTTTTTTTTTACTATCAGTAATTCAGTAATTAACTATTTTATCAGGTCATAAACAAATAATGTTAAGTACTTTTAAATAAAAAATATATAATTTATATATTCCATTATAAATTATAGCTAGAGATAACAGAGGATTATAGATGCGGTTAACCACCATAGTGTCTCATTGGTTTGGTAAATAAATAAATTCTACATTAAATAGTGGCTAGTAATTAATAACATATTTTAAGATATGTGTTCTGGTAGCTATTATAAACTGGTACCTCTAGTACTTAGTAAACAAAAAAAATGATTTTAAACATTAGTTAATATGTTCATGTTTTGTAATGACTGGTAAATGCTATTTTGGACCCCATTAAATGATTAAAACATTTTTAGTCTGTCGTCCTAACCCTTATTGGGTGATTGCCTGAGGTGTGGGTAAAATGTATATTAGTTAGAAAATAGAAGACGGAAACAGAATCATATCTGATGAACACCTTAAGACACTGAAGCCTAAAACTGGTTTATGTACTTAGTGTTCTTTAAACATCTGAGTAAATCTTTTTTTTTTGTATCGACTAAGTAAATGAAAAGCAGGGTGCACCCTGAAGCTCACTTTCTTTAGTCTGTAACTGTTGCCCACTTGTCGTGACTCATATTAGTGGGGTGACTGTTGTGGTTATGTATTTTGCTTTCGTTCATGTTTTATTCCAAAATGAAACGAAGACAAAGCCACATGAGTGGAGGTCAGACAGAGCTGGAAATGCCTTTGGGCTTTCTAGACATTTTGATCTTGTCACATTCTAATCATGTGGTTTTGTCTGCCCCCTAAAGCACGGGCCATTTCTTTTTTAAATGGAACAGCGGATCTTACGTAGGGGATACTAGACAAAAATAAGTAAGTATAATAAATGCATAAATTACTAAACGTATGTTGGCAAAATCAGCAAAGTAATGAGTAAATTGACTCAGAATTAAAGTAATTGATATTTATTTCTCTGTCCCATAAGTCTTTATTTCTGTTTTCTTCATTCATGTGTACTTTACACAACCAGAAATTCATTGGTTATATAGTTCTGCCTGCCCATTTGCATTGTGTCTGCTTGAAAATGTTTATTGTACTACTTGGTTATGATAAGCGAGTCATAAAAGTGAGCAATGCTCAATACACCAAACAGTGTTTTACTTTGTTGAGTGTCCTGGTCAATGTAGGGGGTACAGTTACCTATTTGCTCCACAGTGGCATGTTAATTCTATGTACATACGAGTGATCATAGTAACATTTACTACCATTATACCATTATACCATTATAGTTTGAGCAAACCAAAAAGTTCCAGTGACTGCAAAAAAAGATTGTATTTACATCTCTTCACATCTGAAAAGCAATTAACCAATGCTTTTTATTTTTTTCTCAATTCTATTGTATTTAATATTCTTTAAATTTGAATATTACATATAATTTGAGGGTGCTAACATTTTTAAATTATATGTCACTTTATTGCTAGCTCACTTCTTTCACTCACATGATTAGGTTGGGCTGCAAAATTAGAACTGCTAACATACTGGTACAGGTATGCAGGTGTTAATTAGAATCTTTTTTTTCCTCCTTAAATCTTTATTGCAAAAACAGAAATAAAGTGTAAGTGGGACATAAAGAATTATACAGAACTTTGATTGGTGCAATATCAAGTAATGCATATACATATTTTGTAAAGGTAATGTGTAGTATGGTTAGTTTGCTGTCTTTTTAGAGTAAACTAGATGTTGTGTGTGTTGTTTATATGCTCTGGTAATGCTAATCCAAAACATCTTTGTAGTAGCGTCCATGTTGATTCCACATTCCGACTTAAAGAGCTCATGAACACACACTGAAGTCGGAAGAACAACTTCACAACTCGGTAAATGGGACCATCCGAGTCGCTGGTTGCAATTCGCAACCCTCACCCCTAGATGCCACTAAAACTTACACACTGAACCTTTAATGTGACTAAATATTATGGCTCTTCGAAGATACAC